TAAATACCACATGTGCTATATATTGGCATCCCATATTCATCTTCCACTATTAAAGTACAATTCTACTATAGAAATGTTGCACAAGATATATACCTCACAGTCATGGGAATCTATTTCCACTTCAAAACCATCCTTCTGCCTTAAAATCCAATCTTCGTGTTATAACCCACACACAACAAAGATATATATCAATTGTGAATTGTGTAATGTATTATGTATCTTCACAAATCTCTCACACTTGCTATCACATATATCTCAATTGTTAAATCTTGGCATATACCTAGAATAAGCATTTTTAGCATATGCTATTATTATACTAGCTCTTTTGTTTAAATATATGAGTATAATAACTGCAAGTATAGCACATGTATATGGGTTAAGAGGAGAGTGATAGAGTGTGTTACATACAAAGTGTCAGCAGTTACTAAGCTTGATGTTTAGTAGTTACAAAATGTAAAGTTAGATTTACTTTTTCTAAATGAAGTTCATGAGGTTCAAAAGGTTAATATATGAATTCAAAAACTTTGTTATGGGTTTAAGAATTTTGAATCACTTATTGATACTTTTTTATTTTAACATTTACATTTTCAATATCAATCTTTATTTTTTGAAGACTAATCCTAATGATTATTTTCAATTGGTGATGTTTCCAATTTTTATTCCATGTTTTCTCTATACTTACCATGACTCCTCTCCTATTTTGACACATAATACATCATCATGTGTTTTGGAAATTGCATAAATCTTTCTATTAGTTTATAATGTAACGTGCTATCAATTGATTTATGCATAGTTATGTTTGGTGCCAAGCTTGTAATACTCCCCCTTGTGTTGCAAATGAAAACTAAAGTTAATTATCCCATTTAAGCTTGTAGCATTTAATCTAATAATGTAGCATATATAATCATGGGATGAGATTTGGATATACTATCATTATGGATCTTTGGAACTTTATGGGATAAATAGGGATAAAATAAGGGCTCTTTCATCAATCAATTACTTCTTTTTATATTAGCTTAAGAGGAGAGACATAAGATGTATTATAAATAAGGCTTTTCCACAATCAATTGTTTATAATAAGTATATCATTATTAACTACTTGTTGCTTGGAAGTTAATGTTTTTACTACTAAGTTTACAACTAATGTTGGATACTTTCTCCCCAATTCAGTGGTGTTTTAACATTTTTGTTTAGAGTGAATTCTTTCAGATAATGGTTTTATTGTTTACAATTAATGTATTTTACATATTAATGTATCGACTAAGGATACCTACATTTTGTATATACTTATTATCCACAAATAGATGGTTTGATGGAAGGGCTCATTCACACCTTCAAGGGGATGATCATGAAGTTTATTGATGTTTAACTATATAAAATTTTATATAGTCATAATTTTATATTGCTAATAAAGTTAAGTTTACCTTCACAATTGTTATATGTTAGTGATGCTACATTCTTGGATTAATATTTGATAAACATTATTCCACTAGTTTAAATAGAGTCTTTTGAAGACTTGGGTTGCAGGCACTACTTACTTGGATACCTAGTGTGGCTCAACAGAACCTCACTCTAAGCCCATGGCTAGAGCACCTAAAGGCAGAAGGTGGGGAGAGTACCCATGGGGCTCGCGTAGGGCCACGGTGTTCCGAAATGTTATCCCAAAGTCCCAAATGGGGGAAAGGAGGAGGAGCAATCCTCTAGTGTAGTGACTACGGATATGGTCACATAATGAGGAAGTTCCAAAGGACAATGGGACTTAGTGGCCGGGCTTGCAAGCCTTGATCTAGGGGCAATGTTCTCGTTTTTTAAAAAAAAAGGGAAAATAATGGGAAAAGGATCTTCCCGGAAGCTTTGCCATATAAACCCTAGCTAGTCCCTCCCCCGGAAAGTGGGAAATGGAAAGGGACTGACCGACAAGTTGATCCTTTAAATTATGCATATAATGCTTTATACAAAGGGACCAAGAAGAAATTGCACTACTTATGGATTCACTAATGCTTTTTTCTGATGTTTTTATATATTCTAACTCTATCAATACTTAATTTCTTTCCATCCTTTGATGATTTAAGGTGTTAGTGGATATTCATAAATTATTAATGTAGTGGGATTTTGATAGCTATTAGATTAGAAACATTTGATTCTATATATAGATTAAGTGCATATTTTTATATTCCATATATTCATATAGCAAATTTTAAGACTTTTTAAAAAAATTTATAATCCTCTCAAAACTTTTTTGTGTTTTAAAATTTAATATTTATCATTATTGCAATATAAAATTTAGAATACACTTAGCATTATAATTTATCTAGATTAATCTTGTTTTTATAACTTATATACTCTCTTAAATACTTTCTAGTATATTTTAATTTATTCTACCATCTAAAAATTAATATACACTTAAAATGATGACTTTTCATAATCATATAAACTATTAAAAAGCTCTATTATGGAATTTATGGAATTTATGGAATTTGGAATTTCCAGATGAAATGGAGCCTAATCTGTTGCTGATGAGAGCAATGTTATGCATATTAAGTTGGTATTGCAAAAATGGAATTATGGACTACATCTAATTTAATGATTCTAATAGCACCAAAACAGTTTTATCATTTTAAATATGATGTAAGTGAATGAAAAGATTAGGCAGAACCACACTTTAAAGCACACTCTAAAACTGAAACTTACATTATGTAGGCTGAAACAATCTTGTCAAAATGAGAACAAAAGAAAAAAAAACTTCCTAACTAATAAGGAAATCAAATTTTGTTGTTTGAAACGCACAATAATTTATTGAGAGCAATTTAAATCAATCAAACCAAGAGCTTGAGCATAATCATGAAAGACTTTATACTATTCATAAGTGAACAATGGACATTCTTCTCTTGAAAAGCTGAAGACTTGCTGAATCGAGGGTCGGGGGTGGCTGCTCAATATCTCCCAGGCAGCAAAGATGGGAGTTGAAGCCAATGACATTCAGTTTTGTTTCCCAGAGTGGCAGATTTTTGAAAATTTGGGAGGGGCTTTTGGAATGGACCTAGTGCTGGCTGTCATGAAGACTCGGTAAAGACCCTGTGAAAGATGCCATTCAGCTTCTCACCCTGGAATTATGCATAAAGATTAAACAGAGCTTCAGTATTAATACAGCCTTGCTAGCAGCTTCTTCTCACTCACTCATTGCTCGCTTACACGAAAGAGTGCTCAGGCTATGCACAAGAGGTTTTCGAGGTACATGCTCCTGGTTTCTGGAAAGTGACCAGATTTACCAGTCACAACTTGCCAGGGTCAAAGCTGCCCGGCCATAATAAGCTCAGAAAACACCACACTGACCATGAGAGTGAGTATATAGGCTCCTGCACGAGAAATATTTTAACCGGGGTCATGTTTCACTGGTATCATATGCTGCATACCAGAATTTGAAACTGTTGGAGCTTCTGGTCGAATGCGATCATAAGCTCTAGCAACGGTTGTCCGCTTGCTCCCACCCACTCCGTATCCCTTGCATGAAGAGAGTGCCCAGGACCTCGTTTACAATGCCTCGCCCACGATTGCGAAGAAATAAATTGTATGGCTATCCATAACTAGAACGGAAACAAACTCTAGTGTTGGTAAAGTATGTCAAACAGTTCGTTGCAGGCGTTGTAGGACCGCGAGCAGAAATGCTTTTCTGCAATCACAATGAAAGCTTTCAACGGTATAGGAGATTCTGATAGGTTCCTTGCTCGATTGAATTTGTCAAGTCAGTGCTTATACAAGATTTCTAGGTGGCTATAATCGAATGCTTGTTTTGCACTAGAGCGACTACATGTTCTTCTAGAACAGGCTTGTCTTCTTCATGATCCTGTAGAATTCTTCCTCGCTTATCTCACCATCACCTAAAGGAATAAAATATCAAAACCAATTGTGAGCTATTTGTAACTACTTACCATCGCGATCGGCTTCGTCGATCATCTCCTGAAGTTCCTCGTCCGTCATGTTTTCTCCTAGCTCCTTTGCAACTCGCTTGAGATTCTTGAAGGAGATCTTTCCCTGGAAAAACAAATGAAAAAAGCAGTGAGGACAACATACACAATCTGTGTGTAGCTTACGGTCTCGTCGTCGTCAAACAAGCGAAAGGCTTTCATGATCTCTTCCTTGGAATCGCGCTCTCCCATCTTAGCAGTCATCATCTGAAGAAACTCCTCGAAATCGATTGTCCCGCTACCGTCTTTATCGACATCGGCTATCATCTTCTTGATCTCCTGCCAGACAAAGGCGAAGGATAGAATTTTCGTCAGCCTCGCAAAAACAAAAGAACTGGAAAAACTTACTTCTTTCTTCGGCTCAAAACCGAGTGCTCTTTAGAATCGTATCACGTATAAACGAGTGAGAGCAATGAATCATGCCGTGCTTACCTCATTGCCACCTTAAGTTCTTTGGCGTCGATTGTTCCTGGAAAGAATAGCAAGAAAAAAAAAATCATCTCCAGGTTAGAGGAAATTATTCGTTCGATCACAAGCAAAGAAACAAGACTAGTAGCGAAGACCCACCAGATCCATCCGTGTCGAACAAATCGAAAGCCTCCCTGATCTCCTGCTTCTGTTCTTCAGTCAAGCCGTGCGTTCGACCCTTGTTCTTGTCCCGCTTAGCAGCAGCGATTCCCTTGCGATAACTCTGACAGAGAGGGAGAATGGATCAAACGAGGGGGTTAGCGAGCGATCGATAGAATGCGGCGAGCTTGATTCACCATTGCAGCGCAGAGAAGAGAGCTCCTGGGGAGGTCCAAACAAACCGCGGCAAGAAAGAACAGCTAGGGTACCAGGAGCGCATAATCTTGGAATTATACGCGGCATTTTCCGTCCGGGTATAACCGTTTCTTTCTACTCGACCATTTTGGACGGTGGAGATTGGGTCAGATCCGACGGTGCAATTTGAACCGGAATATCTCCGTGTTCCAATAAAATCCCTAATGTAAGATCTGTGCGGGCATTTCGAGTGTGAAACGATGAGCTCGGCGGAGGACGAGAGGGAAGGGAATGAAGTCTCTTCTTCTGATTCTGGCTCTATAGGTGATGCGCATCGTGATTTCTTCCCATTCTTCTCACTGTCGATGCTTTCCTCCGTTCTAGGGCTTGTTTCCTACACGGAGGCTGCGCTTGCAGCTCTGGAGGATGCAAATCTTGAAACCTTTCGGCATACGCTGCGGGTAATCCATCAAAACTTCCTCGCATCGCATTGGATAGAAATCTTTTTGCCACAGGGACTCACAAGAATTGCCTCTGACGAGGACTTTGTGAATGCTTCAAGAGATGCCGAGCGCTTGTTTGCGAGACTAAACTCGCAGCACTTCTCTGTCTTCAAGCAAGCACTTAGTATGTGCGCCAAGTGGGAAACTCTTCAACCAAAGGTAAGCGCGCTTGCATTGTGGCACATTTTTTGCTAATGCACACCAGAGACTTTTCTCCAGCTCCAGGAGTTTGATGCATCGGCCTTTCGAGAAAATATGAGCTTGGCATTAAAACCTCTGAATCTTGCTGTCGATTCATGGGACATGCAACAAGTTGTGGAACTATTTGCGGGCCTTCTTACACACCTGCAAACTAAGCAACAGGATCCTGAACAGGAAGACTCGGCAGGCGACCTCAGTGGTTTTCATAAAGCATCAGAGTTGCAGGGGGATGCAGCAGATGGAGACACGTCGCCAGAAAGCATTTCTGCTGATTTCCTTCCGAAGAGGTCTGGTTAAATTGGGTGTTGTTATTGTATCTCGTATCTCGTTTCAGGAGCCAGGATCGGAATTGGTCAGAGTCATGGAAATTGGCTGTTAAAGGTGTTCTTCAGAAACAACGGCGTGAACGAATACGGTAACTAGCACTGTAGATCTGGTAATGAACCATATGACTTAGTTTATTCTCACTCAGTCACCGTGCAGAGATAAAGGACTTCAGAAAGTGCAAGCCTATACCAGAAGAATCATTCCGAAGTCAGAAGGCACTAGGGAGCATCTTCGCAAGATTTTAAGGTGCATATATATGCCAAACAACACAAAATACTGGTCATGAGCTGATCATGCAGCGCAAGTTTTCTTTTCGGTGATCTGGAACCTAGCTTGAGGGAGGAAATTGTGGATGCTTTCGAGGACATCAGAGTATTATCCGGACAAAACATTATCAAGCAAGGGGATCCTGCAGACAATTTTTATGTCATTGTAAGTCTTGAAAGGTCCGTTACCTCATGCACAAATCTTTTCTAAAATTTGAGGCCTTTAACATTGTATGTTTTCAATCGGTCTTTACAGGACGTTGGGGAATTTGACGTTCTTGTCCGGAAGGTACAGATTTGCTCCATGCTTCATGTCCTCGCGTTCATGTTGCATAGCTTCAGGGGAGAGAAGCACCCGTGCTTGTGACAAGGAAAAGCCCGGGAGATTTCTTTGGAGAGCTTGCTCTCATGTATGACAGCCTCCGGAATGCGACAGTCAAAGCCACAACAAATGCGTTTGTGTGGGCTGTAGACCGTACAACGTTCAAGTCCATCATGAGCCGTCATTTGGCTGGATCACCAGTCGCACAGGTGCCATTCTGCAATGACTGTTTAAATCGCTGGTATACTACTGAAACTTTTTCGTGCTCGTTATTGGTACTAAAATCTTGTTTCAAAAGGTGCTGCGAGAAGCTCCTGTTTTGAAGAAGGTCGCGACGAGAGACATTGTCATGCTTAGCAGTCAGGCTGAAGTTGAGACATATCGTCGCGGCCAGTTTATTTTACGAGCTGGATCGTCTATGGATAGGGTAACTATGTGTTTTTTCATTCATTTGTAACCAGGTTTTCATCTCTCAGATTTATATTATCCAGGAAGGACAGGTTAGAATAAGTTGGGGTGCAGCTGGAGGTTCATCTCGTAATTCTCGTGGTGAAACTGTTGCTGTTATGAAGCGGTTGGAAATACTTGGTGAGGCACTTATTCTCAACGACGAGACGGTCATCTCGTGGAATTTCATTGCTTCCTCTGACCATGTAAGCTGTCCGACATTCTCATATGGGATACCGACTAACATAAGCGTGTTCGATTTCCAGACATCTGTCATTGTTATTGAACGGAGTTTATTCACTGAGGCACTTCTTAATGATATTAGGAAGGACCTCCAAGTGCAGCTTGTTGCGCTTGGTTTACAGAGATTGCCTTCATTTCTGGAGCTAAGTTCTGAACAACTTTACAGTCTAGCCCGTCACTTTGACGATACCGCTCACGTCGCAGGTACTGAAAGGCTATTTTAATTCTACTGAAAGCTCACTTATTGATACGTTTTGCTTTCTTAAGGCGAAGAGATTACAAAATGTGGTGACGTTTTGGGGCCTGAAGCTAGAATTTACGTGGTTCAGAACGGGACTATATGTCTTTCCAAGTCTGCTGACGACGAAATGGTGATGACACCGCGTGGCAGCCATATTTCCTACACCTCTAGACAAAACGTGAGGGAACCAAGGGACTCTGGTATTGGCTTTTGGGGTAGCAGGCTTGGTTCACTACTTAAGTCCGGCAGTACACCTCAATCTCCACGAAATAGCAACGTTGTCGCGGGTGCACTGACTACCCAGGACTTGCTCAGTCTTTCACAGGGCCTTGGTGGATCGACTAAAGTTAGAAAAGGTGGAAGTCCTCGTCAGAGTATTGGGTGGGTTGGCTGTTCCAGTTTTTCATTTTAACTCGTTACTTTGATTGTGCAGTTGTAGCTCTCCTTGGACTCTCACGACCTATGGTGTTTTTGGAGATGAATGCCTTTTAACTCGTGCAAGCGCAAAAGATGAAAGCTACTGGCCACCTTGCAAAACAACATCTGTGGTGGAATCTTCCAGGGCAATATGTTTATCCGTGACTATTGCGAAGCTGACTTCAATTCTTGGCCCTATTCAAGAGTTACTCACCCGGTTGACAAATACCAAAGTACTCGGGTAATGCCAAGTCTTTCTTGCTTTTATTTACTCTATCTTACACGAGTGCTTTGTCACAGGAAAATACATTGCTTAGACTACCTTTTTGGCTCAGAAATAGACTTATTATCTCATTCCATGGGCGTGAGAAAGCTACATTCTGGTGAAATGTTGTATCGAGCTGGAGACCCCGGTGATCGTTTATACATCGTGAGCAAGGGAACAGTGATCGAAACAGTACATACTCCCACACCCGATGGGAGCAAACAGAAGGGGGACCAGATTCTTCTATCTAAGGGATCATATTTTGGAGAGAATGCTCTTTTGGATGACGAGCCAAGGCCTTCCACCATGGTTGCGGGAACAATGGATGCCAACAGACCAGGTTTGCTATCCTTGTGTCCGTAGCGGGCATTTTCTTAAAAGGCACGATATCTACAGGAGGAGCAGAGCTTTTCTACCTGGACAAGGGAGTGCTGGAGGCAAACTTTGGACCGCTCCGGGAGCTCATTGAAAATCGTAAAAAGGAAAATGAATTAAAGGGGATTGTTAAAACAATTGGATATGAGGATTTGGAAGAACTTGGAATTATCGGAACAGGTCACAGCTTGTAATTGAGCTTTATTATCTCCTGACGCAAGCTCGTTGTGTGTATGCAGGGCTCTTCGGCAAAGTGAAGCTGGTGTTTTGCCGACGGACACGCGAGTATTATGCTTTGAAGTGTGTCAGCAAGGCAAAGGTTCTAATACGTCAATATCTGAGCCCTTTTACGTGCTGTTAGCCAGTTCGATATTTTATCATTCAAGCATGTTTGGATCCAGGTCATAAGACTCCAGGAGGAAGAACATCTCAGAAATGAGAAACTATTTATGACTGAAATGGACCATCCGTTTATCACCAAGCTTATTCGAACCTACAAGGATGACAAGAATGTAAGTCACAGTTGAACTTATTTCTTGGAGCTGAAATTTCTGAGTATCATGCAGATTTACTTGCTTCAAGAGCTGACCACGGGAGGCGAGTTATTCTTTCATATGGAGAAAGTTGGGCCTTTGAGGGAGGCTGAGGCATCATTTTATGCCGGTGCTGTTCTTTTGGCGTAAGTAGAGTATGTCTTTGTTTACAATCGTGTTGACTTGTCAAGCACAGGCTGGAATACATGCACGGAAAAGGAATTGTTTACCGTGATTTGAAGCCCGAAAACACTCTGATAGGAGACAACGGCTATCCAAAGCTTATTGACATGGGTTTTGCCAAGCGTATCTACAATCGACGAACCTACTCCATGTGTGGGACTCCAGATTATATGGCACCGGAGATAATTCGAAGACAGGGACATGGAAAGGCTGTCGATTATTGGGCTCTAGGCTGCCTCATCTTTGAGTTGATAACGAATACAAGCGCTTTTAATCGCGGGGAAGATCCTCCGCAGGTAATCAAGTATTTTCTGGTTTACGTCCTGACTTTGCACGGTGTTTCGTCCAGTTAGTGTTTCAAAGGATCATAGACGGACGTGTCAAGTTTCCACCCTATGTTAGCTCAGATGCTGCTGATATTGTACGGAAACTGCTGGACCCGAATCCTGAGACGCGGCTCGGCTGTCGAAAGCGAGGAGCTGCCGACATCAAGGAGCACCCCTTCTTCGCCAAGTCAGTTAATTTTCAGCTGCTGCTCCGGCAAAAAGAAGAGCCTCCTGTAAGGTTTACTGAACTCATGCAACTCACTCTACATTTCCCTTCTGCAGATGATTCCAGCAAAACTAGATAATTACACCAGCCTGTGCATACCCGACGAACCAAGCGATCCCATGGACGACTTGCCGGTGGACCCTTCGAACACAAAGTGGGACGACATTTTCTGAGCCTCTGGTACATTTTTTTCTCTGTCTATCCACGGTAAGTACGCGTAGCATTCGGTCTCAGAAGTTGAAGTTTCGGCAGTTTTGGCTCATAATTTGATAGTGGAGCAGTAGGATGAAGCAGCGAACACGGAGCCAGACGAGAGGTGACTTGAGCCTCCCGACGGTTGTCATCCTGGCCTTGACAACGAGCTCGCAGACCATCTCAAAGTTCTCGATGTCCCGGATGAGCGTGTAGCCGACGTTGAGCTCCAGGGGCGTGGTGGTGAGCTCCACGTGGACCAGGATGTCCAGCCGGGTGGCCCGGGGCACCACAAACTGGCGCACGATCGCCTTGCCGACGGGGGTGCCGCGGTAGAAGACGGTCGACTCCACGTACTCGTTGTGGATGTCCACGCGGGCGTTGACGTTGTGGTAGTCAATGAAGAACTCGGCATCAAAGTCAAGCTCGTACGAGAAGTAGAGGCCGCTGCGATGCAAGTCAATGGCGATCACGTCCAGGCCCATGTTGTAGTCCTTGATCATGAGGTGGGGGATCCGGGGGCGGAGGTGGAGGTAGACGAGCAGCATGGCGAGCGCGACAGCGAGCAGCAGGGCCGAGACGGCGAGAAGGGCCGAGGAGAGCGCGCTCCAGGCGCGGCGGCGGGTGGCGCTGGTCAGGTGTGCGAAGCGCTGCGTTTCCATGAGGCCCAGGACCACCGGCAGCGGATACACGGGGATCTTGCCGATCTTGACGCTGCGGAGGACGCCCCCCGGGAACCGGATCACTCGAGTGGAGCCGTCCTTGCCGGTGAGAACGAATCTTACCGACTTGTCTCCGGTAGTACTAGCAGGGGTGGCGGGGACTGCCACCGCTTTCGAGCTCGAGGCTGCTTTCTTCTTCAGGGCTGGAGGCGGGGGTGCTGTTGTTTTGATGGCACCGCGACGCTCCTCCAGTTTGGAGGCGCTGTCCGCTTTCTCGTCCTGGCCATCGACAATGAGGACGGCGGCACTCCGAGTGGTGGTGGTCTTCTCCATACGTTTTCGGAGAAGCTGAAGCTCGGGTTATAAGAATGGGAAATGCCACGTAGGCTAGCTACAAGTTCAACCGCCAGCGCAACCGGGTTCCATCATCAGTAGTTGTAGTCCCTGCACAGCCGGTCGATCTTCTCGTCGGTCATCTCGATGGAGCAGCGGACCCGGTGCCAGAAGAAGCGCGACGTGATGATGCTGCCTAGCGTCGACATCCGCGCCTTGATGATAAACTCGCACACGTAGTCCACCCGCAGCGTCGCAATCTGCTTGAGCATGGTGTAGCCCACCTGCAGCGGCACCAGCAGCTCGTTGTAGATCACAAACTGGAGCGGCATGGTCGACTTGCGCGGCACCATGAAGTTGTGGACGAGCGACTTGCCCATGAAATGGCCCTGGTAGAAGACGGAGCTCTCCACGTAATAGTTGTAGAAGTCGACGGCGCTGTTGAGGTTGCGGTAGCTCACCATGAACATGCCGTAGACGATGCCCTTGTAGAAGTAGTAGTTCCCGCGGTCCTCCACCTGCTGCATCAACAGCGTGTCCTCGTCCAGCAGCTCGTACATGACGGACACGTCGAAGTCGTCGATGCGGAGGTGGGGGATGCGCGGGCGGAGGTGAAAGTAGAGCGCCAGCAGCACCATGCAGACGAGCAGCGCCAGCGCGGAGACAATGGTCCCGGCAACGCCCAGAATGTGGCACGCCTTTCCGCGGCCGCGGCCCGAGAAGTGGCGGAAGCGCTCCGTTTCCATGAGCCGGAGCACCAGCCACAGTGGCGGGTCTGGGTACACTCGGACGGTGCTGTGCTTGATGGTGTTGCGCCGCACCCGCTGGACGCCGGGCAGGAAGATGCGCATGCGCGGCTTGCCGGACACCGCGTCGATTGTGGGCAGCAGGAACCTCACCACCTTTGGCGACTCGAGCGACGCCTTCTTCTTCTCGCCGGGGCCATCGTCGTCGTCGAACCGGACCTTGGCCTTGCTGGGACTGCTGCCGCCACTGGTGCCGCGGGCGAAACGGACCGACTTCTTCTTCTTGGGTGTGGCTGCGGCGTCGGCGAACCTCACCAGCTTCACTTGTTCTTTCTCTTCGTCTTCTTCTTCTTCTGATTCGTCGAATTCGGGTGCGTGGAATCTCACTGCCCTCTTGGCCGATGTTGCAAGGGGTTTCTCTATCGCTGCAAACCTCAAGGTTCTTGTGCTCGCCTCTTGAAACTCGTCCTCGTCCCCATCATCATCCGATACAAGTGTTTCAGTTGCTGCTGCTACAAACCTCACCAGCTTTGAACTTTCGTTCTTTACAGTATCACCATCGGCTGCTGCTGGAGAAGTCGCCACCTCCTGAACGTTTTCGTCATCGTCCTCGCTTTGTGCTGCAAAGCCCACCACCTTTGAGCTCGGCTCGGCCGCCACCTCCTCCGCTTCCAAAGCATCATAAACCTCCTCTTCTTCTCCTTCGGCATTCTCCACGGGGCGGACTTTGGACTGCTGCGCAAGATCGATCTTTGCTTCCGAACGTATAGCGGGTGCTGGCCGCGGAAGCAAACTCCAGACCTTGTCATCGTCAACTCCGCGCGGGTCACTGTCGGAAGAATCAGAAGAAGACTCGTGCTCCTGTTGATCCACCCAAATCTCCTCAGGCTCGGGTACCGTGTGATCTCGTCGATCCACACCAATCTCCGCAGCCGCGGGTATTGTTTGATCGCGTGACCCCGATCCTCTTTCCAAGACAATCTCCAGCGGCCGCCTCCGCTTCCTGGGGATGGATATGTGCAGCACCCTGTCGCGTCCCAGCGTCAAGGTGGCCTGCCCGCTTGTGGGCATCACAATTCGCCCGTCGTCATCGCTGCCGGAGCCGTCCAGATCAAAGAACTCGTCCCCGTCGTAAGTGATGCCTCGCTCCTCGTCTCGGTCGTCCATGGCAGCCACGCACGCCTGTCCCTGCGAATCCCAGCGTACAAGAACACGGAATATGCCATGACAAGGCCGCGCCGCATATTCCTTGGATCTATTTCCCGCAACCGTTTATTGCGCACAAATAATGTCTTGTTCTCGAGTCACTCTTGCAGGGTGGCGAGCAGCTGCCGCCATCTGGGAGGCTCCTCGTCGAAGATGTACGTGAGGGGCGAAACAAGGACGCCGCTGCCGCAGATCTGCAACACCAAGAAAGCTCAGAGACACTGGTTCTGTATGCTTTGAGCTTTTACCTTTCTCAGCTCGTTCACCGCATCGTAGAGTTGCCTCTTGTGCACACAGATTGCCACCGCGTAGTACTGCACCTTGACACCATCACCAGCATCTGGAAGGCTATACACCGGACTGATCGTAGGCCCCTGAAAGAAAAGTGAAAGGAAATCATGCGAAAAAAAGTGTTTTTACTCTTTTACCTGGAGGCCCGAGAGGCGTGTGTGCCGAAGGACAAGCTCGGCAACATGCTCTTGCGACTCCCCACGCATGTTTCCAGTCAGCTACGTCGTTCGTCATAAGGAAACCCAAGACATGAAATGCGATTCAAAGCGAAAGAGTTACCAGGAACTGACTCTTGGCTCGCAGGTGAGCTTCCAAGCGCTCCAGCATCTCCCGCGTCACGTCCAGGGCACCCTTGCGCTTGAGCAACGCTCGCTTGCTCGCAACCAGCACGCCCTGGACAAAACTCGAGCGTGGAGACGAGACTGGTTTGAAAGCAAACATGGAACCTGGCTTTTGATGAGCGTTCCACCCTCGATTTCCTTGAGGTTGTTCTCTCGCAGCGTCGTCCCGCTGCTGACAAGGTCCAGGATCGCATCAGCCGTTCCCATCTGACGAGACAAACGACGGTTTTTGTGTTAGAAGGAAGCGCGCAAAGCTTCAACTGGTGGACGTGCTCCGAAATCTTCTTACAGCCGGTGCCGCTTCTAATGCGCCATCCGCAGTGGAGAGCTGGATGTGCTCCAGTCCCTTGGCTTTCAATAAGCGACTAGCGAGCTGCAAAAAGGGAATTTCTTCTTTGCTATTCAGCGAGAAACTCATCGTCTTACGTAAGTGAAGCCAGTCACTATTCGCAACGGACGGCTTGACGTCCACTGCGGCATGGCAGCCAAGTCTGAGACGGAGGAAACGTTCTCAAAGATGCCATACTTGGGAATCTACACAGCACAGCAAGATAATCAGCCACTTGATGGATGGAAAAAACAACCAGGAACTTACGCCGAGGCCGAGATGGCACTCGCCGAACCCAAGCTGGTCGTGGACGACAACCAAGTCCTCGTTGTCCTGGCCAGAGAAAGAGAAAGGCGCTAAAGACTTGCGAGCGAGCGAACGAGCGAGCGACACTCACCTGGCCGTGCTCCGCAACCACGTCGTAGCCCACGATTCCCAGATCAATGTCGCCGGCCAGCATCTTCCTCACCACATCCGATTCCCTCTGGAACCACACTTCCAGATTTTGGAGCTGGATCACGAACGACCGCACGCACGAGTGAGATTTGCAAAATCACAGGATCGTACATACCTCGGTGATGTCGGCCACGTACTGGCGAGGATTGGGCTTACACACGGAGAGGTGGCATTCCTAGACACACGGAAGAACACAAGCCACATTAGAGCCAAGAAACTTAGAAGAAAACTTGAGAGACTTTGAGGAGATTGAGGGTCCCTTCGGCCATTCGTCCCTTGCTGGGGAGTCCCAAGCGCACAGTCGTGCGCGAGGAGGAGCCTGAGGAGGAGGAGGAAGAGGAGGAGACGTCCCAGGGGCCGGGCACTCGCTCCACCTGGACCACATTGAAGACGGCGGCCATGGCCACACCTCCTCCCATGATTTAGGGTTTAAACAAATGCTGGTCGCCACCACCACCGCTCTCTATGGCCAGCCTCCGCCAGCGTCAGGGCCGCCCGCCAAGCGGAGGATCAAGTACGTCGAGTATGGCGACTACCGAGTGGTAATGCAATGCTAGTTTCTTCCTCTCATGGGTTGGATTGGAGCTGCATTGCATTGGCGCAGAAGAAGGTGAATGCCCGGGAGCTCGAGAAGCTCGTCTT